CACGATGTTTTAATTAGGTAAATTGGCTTCGTAAAAAACTATTTTTATCAGAATCAAGTAAATTGGTTGGAGTGTATCTAGTATTCAAAATCAATCTATTTATATACTTATCACACATTTTTCATCATAGTATTGTTACGGCTTTTTGACACACTCATATATTTTAGTGATCAATTCAATAGAAATACTTTTTTAAAATTCGATATTATTCTTAATTTGCTATGAATTTAGCTTACCTTTTAATTATGTCCAGCTTTTTGATAATTTTTCTAAGAATTCTTAAGATACCATTTGGGTAGGCGCGTCAAGAGACAAGCGACCACTGAAGCGATCCCAAGGTCGAGTAGGACGACAGATGCGTAAATGTTACGCTTCGTACATTTCGCAAGCTTGAAGAAGTGTCGCGCAACACTTGCAAATAACCATTCGAGGGAACGATTAGCGTTGCCAGACCTACTGTTTTTACGTAGATACAGTGTTTTTGTCTCTAGTAAATTTTGTTCTTAATTTATTAAGTTTGCCTCATTCTTCAGCAAATGATTAAAGAATATTTTCTCTAGTAAATTTTCTGCAGTAAAAGCAGCATCCACTACTGTAGGTTGGCTCTATAAAAAAAACATCAAGATAATCATTGTTTTTATTTAAAATAAAACAAAGAATTAATAGGGAATCATAAAAAGAACATGCATATGCCAAACACTACGATTTTAAATTATCTGATTCAGACTGATCTAAAAGAAGTAGGTACTTATTATTTTTCATTGGGTTTTTCCCGTACGTTAAGTATATAATAAAAATGTTTTTATTTGTTTTTATTTTTTGTTTACTTTATAATTTGGGTAGAAAAAAGTTTATTTTTCGTTTCTTATATACTTGTTTTTTTATTATTAAAATATACTGTTCAGATCTACGGTTTTTTTTTACCCATACTGTTCCAAAATCTGGCAACGCTGCCTAGATCGAAAAAAATTTCCATCCTAATCACCCTCAAAATGAACCGATGCTCGAGGACAGTGAGCCCGAGTGCGATACGCAGCAAACCTTTGCCCCAAGGCAGATTCAGAAGTGTCGTCTTGACGACACTTCTCGTGTCGCGCCGTGCGAAATGTGTTTCATATAATTGTATGTATTTTAGATGTGAAGCGACACTTCTCCGTCGCGTCGGTGGTCGTTTGTCGCGTCGGCGGTCGTCTGTCGCGCCTACCGAAATGGTACCTTTAAAGTACATTTTTGTTTTATTAATAATTATTCACCCTATTCATAATTCATATTAATAATCTCTATGTTTCTATAAAAATTAACCCCTTAACTGGGAATTGTTTATTATTTTTACTTGACATTTAAGAATTAGGTTAATAATTTTAAATGACACCTCAGGTTTACCAAAATAATGAGAATCTGCAAATTAATAGTACCATGGCCTTGACCATGTGTCTGTCCTTTATTAATTAACATAATAATACAGGACCGTAAATCTATACTTTATTAGCTAAGTCAATAAAGTAGGAAACATATATTTGCAATAAAAGACCATTTTAATGAATTAATTTTGGACTTTGATCCTGACAAGGCATTTTTCTGGATATTTAAGAAAGATCTTCCATTTTTGTTTTGTGACTCTTAATTAGCACGGCATCCTAACTTAAATTTAAGGATTTTGATAGTAAAAAAAAACATTTGTAGTGTTTTATTGTAATAAAGATATTTTATTGAAAGATATAAAGTTACACAGCTATCTTGTGGATCTATTTTCAATAAAAACAACTCTTAAAATCACAATATCCACGTGGCCGCTCAACACCTGCAGGTAGGGTATAACCTTTATTATTGAACTTTTGTTGCATGCGCCCTGTATTAAGCTTAACTTGAGGCTTACTTTTATTGTAATTATTTTAGGCCAGTAAGTAAGATACCTACTTACACACTTGCTTTCACCCGCTCTTTGCTTGCACTTCACTTTCGCTTTGAGATCTGCTTCTTAGCACCACTGTTTTTACCATACACACATCACGAGCACACATCACCAACACCATCCAGAGTGGTACACGAATCCACACTGTACGATACCAGCATATCCGCAACTGCATGCCTGACGCACCTGCTAGCTTACACTCATACTCATCATTAGCCCCATAATTTGCTTGTGGAGCACTATGAGGCCGTAAGAGAAGCTATAGCTTACCAGGTACCCAGGACTAGTAAGGTAGGATTGATCCATTTAGTCTATGTCCAAACAACGTTACTACCTACAATAGAACGAATTATATAAATAATTATTATAGTTGTTTAACTAAGTTAAATATATATAAACTTACCCATAATTGCATGAAGCCCCTTGATTCAATCAAATTTAGCTGTGAGCCAAAAGTGCCGACACTAGCGGCTCGACTAGCGGTAGTTTTATCTATCTCTCTTTTTATCTCTTATTTGTAATATATGATTGCCTTTATAACAGGAGATAGATGGTTATAATTATCCTTTGATTTACTCTGTACATATCTATTCAATTACGTTTGAGTTGATTACTAAAAGAATAAACCTAATCAATCAAGAAATATTATTTTATTATTTAATGTTTATTTACCAAGCCTTTTCTTCCCTGAGATAAAAGGTAGAACCCACGAGGCGAAACCTTTTGCAGTATATATGAACCAGTGAAGCATGTCGCATGTCATGCGCCTACCTAAGTACTTTATCGTGGGTAATACTCTAGCAAATTTTCAAATTGTTTTACACCATCCGATAAATAATAGTATTCTTTACCACTGCGTTTTCGAAAAAAGTATATAAAAAACGGTGGCGTAGCTACCTGGGATAGTAATTGCTACCCTGCATCAGAAAGATTTAAGTGCCCTCGCGCTTTTAGAATTATACAACATTCTTTTATTTCGTATAATTCCTTTATTTTCTAAAATTAAAAATACCTACCCATAATAATTATATTTTTTATTGTCTACACGCACAAGTAAAACTCGGAACATGTTTTCGGAAATCCAATGCCCCCTGCTACCTCCCAAACTGTTTTAACCACATACTTTGATTTTCTTTTACTATACGGAGAATGGTCGCACTGCGCAGCTTTCTGAGTGCCTTTTAAAAGGAGATAAAAAACTCCGCCATTTTGAACCCTTATTACGTGTTGCCTACATCTTGGCGCAATATTTTTAATAGGTACGTTTTAATCATCCGCTTCTGCTTCGGAATTGTCGGTTTTCTTGTTTTAATCTGACAGGTTAAGACGACTGAACCGACAATTCCGGAAGCAGAAGCGGATGATTAAAACGTACCTAATATTTTGCTTGCTGCTGTCAGTGTCAGTGAATAATATTTTTGGAGTCACAGTTTATTGCTAAAGAATCAGTTAGCTCACTCGGACCAGTTGAAAGTTCCAAAATAACATCCACTCCAGGGATACAAATTCAGGATACGCAGAAGACCGCTGTTTTATTATAGACGGTTGTCATATATTGTATTATCTGAGTTGCGCAGTGTATAAACTGGAACATTGAGATTAAAAGTGCCGACGCAGAGTGAGCGATCTGATTCTTTAGCTATAAACTGTGTCATAGGGTTCAAAATGGCCGCGCCCTATGTTGGGAGGCAAGATTAGGTGCTTACAGATTTGGGAATACACTGTGAAATCTTGACATTAGGCCAGGTCACATAAGTATCTCAAGGTTAGTGACAGGAGACGTGCTAGACATGAGATCAGACCACTTAACCAAGAGGTACTCTTTTAATACTCCCTTTGAGGTTTTAATACAGGAAAGAGCGGAGATCACCATAAGGGAGCCCAATGCCCAACGACAGGAACAAACCTGGTATACAGACGGGTCTAAGACTGCGGAAGGCACTGGGGCAGGAGTATTCTCCAAAAACCCTGATACTAACCATAGCTATGCTATAGGAATACATTCCTCGGTATTTCAGGCCGAGGTATACGCAATTTTGCAATGTGCAAAAACGAACAATGAAAGAGCTGTCGAAAATCAGCATATTCAAATAATGTCAGACAGCCAAGTGGCACTTAAGGCCATATCGAATCAGAAAGTCACGTCGAGGCTGGTATGGGAATGCATCGAAGAACTAAGAACACTGGCAGACCGAAATAGAGTAAAACTATTTTGGGTGCCAGGTCACAAAGGGATCGAGGGCAACGAAAAGGCTGACGAACTTGCAAAAATAGGGTCAGAAGAAACACCGGAACCAGACACAAACCCAGGAGTACCAAAAAGTACAGTCCGGGGTTTTATAAATGACTGGATTCGGGAACAACATATCAACTATTGGGGAAGCACCCCAAAACAGGCACATGGAAAAGCCTTCATAGGCAGACCATGTCCCAAAAGAACTGGAGAACTACTCATAATGAATAGGAACCAGTTGAAAGTGATAACAGGGTTCATGACTGGGCACGCCCCAGTAAAGGGACACTTGAACAAAATTGGCATGTACAATGGGGAACTCATGTGCCGACTATGTCACAAGAAACCAGAAACAGCCAAACACATACTGTGCGAATGCGAAGCTCTAGATCGAAAAAGACAGGCTCTTTTTGGACAACCCCAGGTTGATCCAACAACGTATAGAACCCACTCACCCAAGGATCTGTACAAACGTGAACAAGGTACAAAGGTGATAGAGTGGGTGCTATGAACTAACATGGGGTAAAACACAATAAGCCAATAGGCTTTAGTGTTATTCGGAGACACATAGTCAGACGAGCCCAGGAAAAAAAAATGTTGGGCGTGTCGGACCTTTCTCTTGCCCCGTATAGAAATCAAAGTATGTGGTTTTAACGTTTACGGCTGATTATGAAATCTTAGCGCGTGTAGGTTTGTTTCTTTGGGATTACTGTTCCATTAAAAATTTGCCTTATGCTTATCGGGTTTGATTGATCGGGGGGGGGGGGGGGTTATCATATATTGCAAAGTGAAAACGTTAATCAGTACTAACTGTTTAAATTCTAGTCTCGGACTAATCTGTTTTGGTAATAGATACTAAAATTATTAAAGTTTTATTAATACTCTCTACTTTTACGAAATAAAAAACAAAAATTTTAATGTCCCCTTTTATTGCTTTTTGATACGCTTATGTGGACTCCAGTCTGTTAAACATCAGCTGGCTGTATGGCTTGCTTTTCTTGATCGTTTTTGCACTTCCAGCTTAAAATGGAGTTCGGTCAGTAGGAAACGTCAGCATGCCTCCTTTTAGCTGATGTAGCAGTCACGTCATCTTGCCTTTTCTTAGCTGATGTAGCAGTTACGTCATCTTGCCTTTTCTTAGCTGAGGCATCAGGCGCGTCACTTTGCCTCTTTTTAGCTGCTGTAGAAGTCACGTCATCTTGCCTTTTCTTAGCTGAGGCATCAGGCGCGTCACTTTGCCTCTTTTTAGCTGCTGTAGAAGTCACGTCATCTTGCCTTTTCTTAGCTGAGGCATCAGGCGCGTCACTTTGCCTCTTTTTAGCTGCTGTAGAAGTCACGTCATCTTGCCTTTTCTTAGCTGAGGCATCAGGCGCGTCACTTTGCCTCTTTTTAGCTGCTGTAGAAGTCACGTCATCTTGCCTTTTCTTAGCTGAGGCATCAGGCGCGTCACTTTGCCTCTTTTTAGCTGAGGCATCAGCAACGTCACTTTGCCTCTTTTTAGCTGATACAGCAGTCGCGTCATCTTGCCTTTTCTTAGCTGAGGTAGCAGTCACGTCATCTTGCCTTTTCTTAGCTGAAGTAGTAGCCGCGTTATCTGGACAAAAATAAATTAAATAACTTTAATGCATTTAATTAGGACGGAAGTGTTACAAAATGTTTGGAATTTTTTCATTATAGCGTAGGGTATTATCAGTAGACATCTCCTTATTTTATTTTTTCCAACACATTGCTTAAATTAACAAATTCAAAATCAATAATTCTACCCTTCCAATAAAAACAAAAGTTGAAGTTTGTTGGAAACTTCCAGTTAATTAAAAAAATAATATGCCTCATTTAAATAAAAATTGAAAAGTTCCAATAAGGAGTGACGTCATCAAATGAAAAAGCTAGTTGACAGAAAATATTCTACTGGAGTTCGTACATAAGTTTTTAAAAAAATCTAATATTTTATTTTATTGAGTGGTGTTTATATTTCTATATCTGTAGTTTGTTTTTTTGAATGACGAGCTAAAAAATAGCAAGGACAAATAATGTAATGATTTCCATAATATTTCAAACTAATTACTTTTTATTTATACAATACCATATATTTTAAATTATTTATTTGTACAAAAATATGAATGCAAAAAATACTGTTTGATAGAATTTTTATCAAAAAACCGTTATTATATTAATTTTGCAGGAATTTAACTGATTTTTAAATGCAATTTATCAAAATGTTCATGTACTCCCAACAATTTTTAATGTATCTAAAGTATCATGCACATGTAGTATGAATAGCAATGTAAACTTCAGATAAAGTCAAAGAAAGATCTGTAGAACGAGCATAAGGAATGAAAAATTTAATATAACTTACAATATCCAAATGAAATTATAGAACTGATAGACATTATAGAAAACGATGCTTTTTCTCGATAATTATTTTTTTTCAAACTATTTCCTAATTCAGTTTCATAGAAAAGGATTTTTTTTCAGAATCCATAAGAAAAACAGAAATTATTTTCTTAATAAGTTTCACCAATTTTGTAATAATTTTAAGTTTATTATTTAATTTTTTTTTATGTTAACTCAATTTTATTTTTCTTTGATCTTTGTGCCAACAATGATCTCTTTCGATAAAAGTATTATTTCATTTCAGAACATATATCGTAGCTATATTCATATGGATAAATAATTAAAAATAAATATTTTTACATACATACACGAATAACAAAAAAAAAAACATAAAATAAAAAAAAGCTCCAAACAAAAAGTCAGGTCTAATGGGATTATTATTTATAAAAAATCATTTTATATATACCGTGTGTTTCATAAAGTTGCATCCATATTTTTGTAACGTTAACATCGTAATACGTCATAGGACATTTAACTCTGCTTTTTTTAAAAACCTTAAATAGCCCATGGTTAAGTATTGCATTAGTTATCTGTCAAACTTAGTATTTATTTGAGAAACCGTCTAATTTTTTTTAAATGATAATTTGAGAGAAAATTAATGTCAGTTGCCAACTTTGATATAGACTATTTTAAGTTTTTATATAAGCAGAGCCGATTACCCTAGAGTTTTTTCAATCGTAATAATAAAAAACATTTCGATATAGATCCACCTTAATGGAATACACTGTATAACTAACATACTATGAAAACCTTACCATCTGAATGAACTAATCCTGCTAAGGCAATTAAAACTGCTGCTATTAAAATGTACGTTCTCATGTTTGATTTAGAACAACTGCTGCACTAAAGTAAACTCAATAATCATCTATGATCTTATATACAAAATTCAGATAGGTATACAGGGTAATACTTTTTGTTTTAAATTTGTTTTCGATATAATATACGTATCACATAGCCTTGCGAATAAATCCATACATATTTATAAAATAGTGATATTTTTCAAAATTAAAATTCGAAAAATAATATTTAATAGAACGTTTCGTTTTGACTCATGTACCAGTCAATAATAAAAACGTTAGGATTTTTGATCCTAAGAATATATTCGTAATTAGTTATATGTTAATGGGCTTTTTGGAAATATCCAATAAATAAAGTCTGTTAGATATCGAATTGCAGAGCACCGTCATTAAATCCGTCGATATTTTCGTTTTAGTTATCCGTTAATCTCTTTCTGTTAAAAATCCGTCAAAGCTTTTGTTTTAAAGATCCGTTGATATTTTAATGTTATAGATCTTTTAATCTGTTAGTCGTAGATCTTCGTTGATCCCTTTTTGTTAAAGATCCGCAGATATTTTTATTTTAGAGATCCATTAATCTCTTCCTATTACAGATCCGTTAATGTTTTCGTCTTAACGATCTATTGAGCTTATCGGGTTAAATATCCGGTGATCTTTTCATGTTAAAAATCCGTCGATATTTTTGTTTAATATATCTGCTAATCTCTTTGTGATAAAGATTCGCTGATCTTCTCGTTTTAACGAGCTATTAATCTGTTAGTCTTAGAGATTCGTTGATCTTTTTGTGTTAAAAATCCGTCGATATTTTTGTTTTAGAAATGCATTTATCTCTCCGTGTTAAAGATCCGTCGATCTTTTCGATTTAGAGATCCTATGATTTCTTTTTGTTAAAGATCTCTTCATCTTAAAAACCCATCGGTCTCTTCATGTTAAAGACTTGTTGATCTTCGATCTTCGATCCTCGATGCCAATTTCTATGACTTTATCCTTAGCGTTTTATTTAAATACTTGCGTACCTTGGTGTGATAGGTGGTGCAAATCGGCTTAGGTCTTTATGCTCTCCTTCGCCCCTTCCTTCGGTGTTGACATATGTCCAGTAGCCATCTTGATATTGCTCTTATCTGTCTAAGGGATCTTTCGATAGAAATGTCGTACCAATATGCGACGTTGCCATTTTCTGTGGCTTTTCCGGCTACAAAAACGTTCGATGTTTTGGGAAGTCTAAAAATAACTACCATCTTCACCATGTATTGCGACGTTGCCACATCTACAAATTTTTCCAGATCTGGGGAAATTATGAAAAATTCTTCTGACATGTCTTACCTTCTACTTACATTAGTCTTAGAGATCCATTGATGTCTTCGTTGTGGAGATCTGTTGATTTCTTTTTCGTTATAAAGACCCGCTGCTCTTTTCACTTTAAATATCCGTTGATCTCTTCGAGTTTAAAATCTTTTCGTATTAGAGATCCGTGATATTTATGTGTTAAAGATCCATTGATCTCTTCATATTGAAAATCCGTTAATCATAGAGACCTGTTGATTTGTTGGTTTTAAAGATGCGTTGATCTTTTCGGCTTAAAGATCCGTTAAATCCTTTGTTTTAAAGATCTGTTAAGATGATCTTGTTACAAATCCGCTGCTCTTCTCGTTTTGAAGATTCGTCGATTTTTTCGTGTTTTTTCTTAAACACTTTAAAGAAAATTATATTCAATCTTGAATATCGTCCAGGCACTTTAACTTATTTATTTCGTCAATAGATATGAAAGAAAAATGTCAAAAAATTTAAGATTTTCGATTCTAAGAATATATTCGTAACTAGTTATGTTAATGGGCTCCTCTGAAATATCCTATAAATAAAGTATGTTAGATATCGTATTACAGAGCACCGTCATCATAGTTCTTACATTTTTAGACACCTTGTATACAAGCATGTGCTTAGACATTTCAAAGAATTAAAAGAAAATAATACCAACTTCAAACTTGCCATAATCCATCCATACTTTATGTAATCGTGATTGTGAGACCTATTGATCTACGGAGAGCCATTATTCTTGTTGCGATTGTTAAAGAGATCCGTTGATGTTGTTGCAATAGTTACATAGGATCCGCTGATCTCGATGTATTGGTTACAGAGATCCGTTGGCCTCGGGAGATCCGTTGATCTCATTGAAATGGTAACAGATACTCGGTGGTCTCTAGAGATCCGTTAATCTCTAGAGATCTGATATCTTCGTGCCAAAAATCCATCGATGTTTTCGTTTTAGATATCCGTTAATCTCTTTGTGTTAAAAATCCGTCACAGTTTTTGTTTTTAGGATCCGTTGATATCTTAGAGTTATAGATCTGTTAGTCTGCCCAGATAGCACACGACGTCTGAAAGACGTCTTTTTTGTGTCTTGGTTTGGTCTCAATGTCCTAGGACGTCATTAAGACGTCTTATAAGTCGTCTTTCAAAAGCCATAATTCAGACGTACTAATGTGAGAGCTCAAAGACGTTCTTAAGACGTCTTACAAACGTCTTTCAGTCGGACGGAAACTTGCACGGTTTACATAATTCAAATTTAACAAGAAGAATCAAATGAAGTGAAGTTTGACGTTTGATTTAACATTATATTCAAGCCGGACTTCCGATTCGGACACCATCGTGGCAATATTGAAATGGCGTTCTCCGAATCAGGAGCCAAACAATCACATAAAAATCACAAAATATCTAGTATAAAAGTGACCATCCGAATTTAAAAAGTATACAAAATTAAACAAAATATTCAGTGTAATATTTGGAGAAGATAATTGAAATCAAATATCAAGTGCAGTGGAAAAGTGAAAAGATTAAGCCCATGTAAAACAAAGAAAAGGAGAAATACATTCAAACCCAAGCCAAAAATTTGTATGGCCCAAGCTCATTGTGGATTATTGATTATTTTATTGCGTACACGATTATAGCCACCAAAAGCGACTTTGGGCTATTTTGAGCATTTGTGTCTCTTTCTACTTAAATAATATGGAACAAAAACCAGAGAGAGAAGAATAGTTTCTGTTACCGATGTAGCACGTTCCTGGAATACAGGTAATAAATGAATATTTGTTTATATACATAGAACATTAATATCCTGTTTCTTCTAAGAATAATTAAATTAATTTAAAAGTAAACATCTTAATATAAGATTTAATTCAGATATTCGTCAAGTATCATTTTTGTTTGTTTTTTTGGAGATTTTAAAAACTAATAATATCAAAAACTCCCTATTAGATAGCCATTTTGAGTGAAGTTAAAGTAAAATTGTTAAAGTAGGCGATTAAGCATAATAGCTCATATTGCATTAAATGATTATAAAAATTCTTCGATTTAAAATTTTTAGAAATTAATTTTTTGTTTTGCTTTATAGATAACTGTTCTGTCGGTTTTTACTAATTTTTGCAAAGTATAATTTTCTGTGACTAGATGCTCTCAACTAAATTTCTTTTTAGGAGCTATACAAAGGCAACTACAAATCAAAGAGAAAAATCAATCCAGTTATGGCTAAAGAGGAATAATCGAATGCTCTACAGAGAAAATAACTCTTAGTGACCTGTGATTAATAGATGTTTTATCAATAAATATTTTAATTCTATTTTTTGCAATATTTTATAATCTGCAAGGTTCTACTTTTTAATAACCAAGATATCCGACGTCCCACGTTCATAAGACATCTTAAAGACGTCTTATTTATGGCTTCACAAGACCATTATAAGCTATTAATAAGTCGTCATATTTATGGCTTATTTAAAGCTTCACAAGACCATTATAAGCCATTAATAAGACGTCTTATTTAAGGCTTCACAAGACTATTATAAGCTATTAATAATTCGTCTTAAAGACGTCTTATTTATGGCTTATTTATAGCTTCACAAGACCATTATAAGCCATTAATAAGACGTCTTAAAGACATCTTATTTATGGCCTATTTAAAGCTTTACAAGACTATTATAAGCTATTTATAAGTCGTCTTAAAGACGTCTTATTTATGGCTTATTTTAAGCTCTACAATATAAGACGTCTTAAAGACGTCGCTTTTTGTAACATCAGACGTCTTCTAAGACGTCTTAAAGACGTCTTTCAGGAAATACCAGACGTCTTAAAGACGTCTCGAATGTCTTATGCCAGAAGTCTTAAAGACGTCTTTAAGATAGCACTTTGTGCTATCTGGGTGTTAGTCTTAGAGCTCCGTTGATCTCTTAATGTTAAACATTCGTCGATATTTTTATTTTAGAGATCCATTAATCTCTTTGGTTTAAAGATGCGTTTATCTTTTCATTTTAATGATCTATTGATCTCATCAGGTTAAAGTTCCGGTGATCTCTTCGTGTTAAAGATTCGTCGATATTTTTGTTCAATATACTCGTATTTGCTAATTTCTTTGTGTTAAAAATCCGTTGATTTTCTCCTTTTAACGATCGATGGATCTCATCGGGTTAGAGATGCGGTGATATTTTCGTGTTAAAGATCCGTCGATATTTTGGTTTAATATATCCACTAATTTCTTTATATTAAGGATTCGTTGATCTTCTTGTTTTAACGGTCGATTGATCCCATCGGGTTAGAGATCCGGTGATCTTTTCGTGTTAAAGATCCGTTGTTATTTTTGTTTTAGAGATTCGTTGACTTCTTCGTGTTAGAGATACGGTTCTTATCATCCTAAAGGTCCATCGATCTCTTTCTATTAAAGATCCGTTGATATTTTCGTTTTAAAGATTTATTGAACTCATCGGAATAAAGACCCGTTATACTGTTGGTTTTAGAGATCCATTGATCTCCTCATGTTAAAGATATTTTCGTTTTCGTGTTAAACATCCGTCGATATTTTCGTTTTAGAGATCCGTTGATAGATCCTAAAGAAATGTCATTTACGGTAATAATTTCACTTAAAAAAATTTCAAAAACATTATTGAACAAAATTGTTTAAAATCAAATACATTTTTGTAAAAAATATTGTAAGCCGGGAGTCAGTATTTAGAGGAAAAACTTGATTAAGGTCGCCAAAGTTATGTTTTATTATTCGAAACGACAAAATTAG